CACATTAACAGAAGCAAAGACAAAAACCACTTGATCATCTCAATAGATGCAGAAAAAGCCTTTGATAAGATCCAACATGATAAAAGCTCTAAGAAAACTAATAATAGAAGGAAAGTACCTCAACATTATGAAAGCTATATATGACAAACCTACAGTCAGCATTATATTTAATGGAGAAAAACAAAACCATTCCCTCTAAAATCACGAATGAGACAAGGATGCCCATTATCTCCACTCCTATTCAACATAGTACTGGAATTCATAGCCAGAGCAATTAGGCAAGAAGAAAAATTAAAAGGAATACAGATAAGTAAAGAAACTGTCAAAATATCCCTATTTAAAGATGAAATGATCCTATACCTTAAATACCCAAAAACTCTACTCAGAAGTTCCTAGACACCATCCGTAGCTACAGCAAGGTAGCAGAATGTTAAATCAACATAGAAAAAGCATTAGCATTTCTATACACTAATAATGAACAAACTGAAAAAAGAATGTATGAAAACAATTCCATTTACAATAGCCTCAAAAAAAATCAAATACCTAGGTGTAAACCTAACAAAAGATGTCAATGACCTCTACAAGGAAAATATAAACTTCTGAAGAAAGAGATTGAGGAAGACTATACAAAGTGGAGAGATCTCCCATGCTCATGGATTGGTAGAATTAACATAGTAAAAATGTCTATACTCCAAAAGTCATCTACATGTTTAATGCAATTCCCATCAAAATTCCAATGACATTCATTAAAGAGATTGAAAAATCTACTTAAATTTATATGGAAACACAAGAGGCCACGAATAGCCAAGGCAATACTCAGTCAAAAGAACAATGCTGAGGTATCACATACCTGACTTCAAACTATATTACAAAGCAATAACAATAAAAACAGCATGGTACTGGCACAAAAACAGACATGAAGACCAGTGGAACAGAATAGAGGACCCAGATATGAAGTCACACAACTATAACCAACTTGTTTTTGACAAAGGCGCTAAAAATATAAGATGGAGAAAAGACAGCCTCTTCAACAAAAACTGCTGGGAAAACTGGTTAGCATCTGCAAAAACCTGAAACTAGATCCATGTATATCACCCTATACTAACATTAACTCAAAATGGATCAAGGATCTTAATATCAGACCCCAAACTCTAAAATTGATACAGGAAAGAGTGGGAAATACTTTGGAGTTAGTGGTATAGGCAAGAACTTTCTCAGCGGAACCCCAGCAGCACAACTAAGAGATAGCATAGAAAAATGGGACCTCATAAAACTAAAACTTCTGCTCAACAAAAGAGATGGTCTCTAAACTGAAGAGAACACCCACAGAGTGAGAAAAAATATTTGCCAGCTACACATCAGACAAAGGACTGATAACCAGAATATATAGGGAACTTAAAAAACTAAATTCTCCCAAAACTAATGAAGCAATAAAGAAATGGGCAAGTGAACTAAACAGAGCTTTCTCAAAATAAGAAATTCAAATGGCCAAAAAACAGATGAAAAAATGCTCACCATCTCTAGCAATAAAGGAAAAGCAAATTAAAACCACACTAAGATTCCACCTCACCCCTGTTAGAATAGCCATCATTAGCAACACCACCAAAAACAGGTGTTGGCGAGGATGCGGGGAAAAAGGAACCCTCTTACACTGTTGGTGGGAATGTAAACTAGTACAACCACTCTGGAAAAAAATTTGGAGGCTACTTAAAAAGCTAGACATTGATCTACCATTTGATCCAGCAATACCACTCTTGGGGATATACCCAAAAGACTGTGACACAGGTTACTCCAGAGGCACCTGCACACCCATGTTTATTGCAGCCTTATTCACAATAGCCAAGTTATGGAAACAGCCAAGAAGCCCCACTACTGAAGAATGGATCAAGAAAATGTGGTATCTATACACAATGTTATTTTATGCAGCCATGAAAAAGAACAAAATGTTATCATTTGCTGGTAAATGGATGGAGTTGGAGAACATCATTCTGAGTGAGGTTAGCCTGGCCCAAAAGACCAAAAATCGTATGTTCTCCCTCATATGCAGACATTAGATCAAGAGCAAACACAACAAGGGGATTGAACTTTGATCACAAGATAAAAGCGAGTACACAGAAGGGATATTTGAGGATAGGTAAGACACCTAAAAAATTAGCTAACATTTGTTGCTCTCAACGCAGAGAAACTACAGCAGATACCTTAAAAGCAACTGAGGCCAATAAGAGAAGGAAGAGCAGGAGCTAGAGAAAATGTTAGATCAAAAAGAATTAACCTAGAAGGTAACACACATGCACAGGAAATCAATGTCAGTCAACTGTCTGTATAACTATCCTTATCTCACCTAGCAAAAACCCTTGTTCCTTCCTATTATTGCTTATACTCTCTCTTCAACAAAATTAGAGATAAAGGCAAAATAGTTTCTGTCAGGTATCTAGGGGGTTGGGGGGAGAGGGAGGGGTTGGAGTGGGTGGTAAGGGTGGGTGTGGGGGCAGGGGGGAGAAATGACCCAAGCATTGTATGCACATATGAATAATAAAAAAATTAAATTTTTTTTAAAAGTTAAAAAATTCAAGAAGCAAAATCATCTGCTTTCCCTTTCTGTAAAAAAACAATGATTCACAGAAAATGCAATCAAAAGGTAAATCAGACTATGAAGACTTCAACAACTGGATACCTAACAGACACCTACAGAAATCTTCACCCATGAAAAGCATATACCTTTCCTCAAGTGCATACTGGACATTTCCCATGAAATACCATACATCTAGACACATAAAATCCTTGGCAAAATTTAAAATATCAGAGCATAAAATATATCTTCTCTGACCACAACAGAATGTAGCTAGAAATCATAAAATAACATTGGACTTCAAGCAAAATATGCTTGAACACCCAGTAGATTAAAGACAAACTCACTAGGAAGTTTTGGAATCAGTGAGGGAATGAAAATCAAAACAGAATATAGCAAAACGATGATCTATAGCAAAACATAGAACTCAGAGACAAAGTTCAAGCTCTGAACATCTATTCTACGATTGAAAACAGTGATCACATTGATGGTACAACTTTACATCATAAGAATTCACAAAAAACATCAAACAAAAGCAAAGACAAGAGAAACAAGACACAAAGTAAATAGGGGAATAGGAAAACAACAAAATAATCACTGAACCCAACTACATGTTGAGGAAATAGTTGACTAAATTGAAAAATCATTAGCTGGAGGAACTAAAAAGAAAAAGAAGATACACATGACTAGATTAAGAACTGAAGCAGAGACATAACTATTGAATTTACATAAAGAGAGTCATAATGTAAAGATTTTGCTTCTACAAATTAGATTATGAAAAACATGGGAAAATACTGAAATGATTCAGATTCAAACAAAAAATGTGAATACATACACAAAATAACAAGTAATTTAATTCCAATCAATTTATAATTACAAAATCCAAAGAAAGAAATGTACGTAACTATATGACTTCAATGATAAATTTTATCAAAAGTTTTGAAGTTTTGTATATGTGAGTGGAAAATGAAATATTATCTGTCACATAGAGAAGGAGGTACTGATGTATTCTACAATATAGATGAGACACTAAAGAATTATGCTAAGTGAAAGAATCCAGAAACAAAACCTCACATATGCTATCAAAGTTCTTTCATATGATGAATCCATCATAGGCAAGCCCACAGAGAAAGAAAGCAGATTAGAGGATACTCCAAGTTTGGATGGACAAACACTGACCATTTACAGGTAGAGCAGATTTTGAGAATGTTTAGCTTTAAAACTAAAGAGAGATCCTGCTTGCAGAAAAATATGAATGCAGTAAATACAACTTAATACTAATGCATTTTACTTTCATGGCATGTGGATTTCAGCTCAATTTTTAAATAACTGCACTCCTTGAACTATTATTCAAATTCACAGACAGCTGCTCAAAATCCCCACTGTTTTGTACAAATTTTCAAACCCATCCTAAAATTTATTTGAAAATACCAGGACTGTAGAGAAGCTAAAAAGGGCTTGAAAACTAAGCTGCAGGACTGACACATCTTGATTTGATAACTTGATTTAAAGACATATTAAAGAATTATGATAATTGTGTACTATTATCAAAAGAATAGAACTATAGGATAATATAGCAGAATTGAGACACTACAAACAAACCCTCATGTTTATAGACAATTGATTTTTGGAAAGAAATCAATGGAAAGAACAGCCTTTTCAAGAAACGGAGCAATGACAAGACGGTTCATATTTCCAGGTTACCTGAATACATTTGTGTAACTCCATGTCTCTGAAAATTCATTTGAAGTTACTCTCAATTAAGGCTTCACACTTCCATCCTCCTGATTTTTTACACCACATTATTTTATATTCGATTCTGTCTTCCTTAAATGCCCTCTCCTCTCCATTTTTGCAAATATTCTATTTCAATCCGTAGACATGTAGTAGTATTCCAAACGTAAAGCCATTCTTTTCCCTTCTCCTGTACATTGGATGCCATGATAACGTCCATCTTCATATCAGGCCTGTTTTCTTTTTTTCACACTTGTTTGGAAATTCACTTCACAATATCTACTTTGTACATTCTGTTTCTTCTCAGCTACATGACCAGTATAATGATGATGACGACGATGATGATGATTTTGTTTTGTTACTTGTCTATTTAACTTTTGAGATGAAACCCAGATTGGCCTAAAACTGACAGTCCTCTTTCCCAGTCTCAAAAATGCTAGAAGTGAAAGTGTTTGTCACCATTATTGGCTTAGATAATTTTTACTGAAGGAAAAGGTCAAGATCTTCTAATTTTTGCACAATTTAATTTTATTTCTTCCATTATGCTTAGTAGAGATTCATGTACACAAAACTTACCCAGTGTGTTTGTCAAACAAAACCTTCCTGGCCATTTAAACAACCCTAGCATGTACAGAACTATTCAGTAAACCATGCAATGCTCAAACATTCAAAAATTGACCTAATGTTACCATCTTACCTCCTCCATTTTTATCAAGAAACAATCAATAAAGTCCCGAGGATTGTTAATATCCAATGATGCTTGGTGTTCTTTTACTTTCTCCAAAATATCATTTCTAATTTCAGAAACATTTTTAAGCACTCTATTATGACTTCCTGGGAAGTAATCAATGAGAGCAGGAAAGAATCTGCATATCTAAAAAAGAAAAGAATACCTTACACAAAAAATTAATCAGGATGAACAACCCATAGAGCAATCACTGGCTAAAATCATAATTCATAATAAATTATGGTCTCTATTGAGGTATACTTGTATTGCAAGCCTAAAGTTATTCTCTATACCCCTAGAAAGGTTTGTGGGTGAAAAATCTGGCAAGAACCTCAAAGATGAAAACATATCCTAGGTACTCATATAGCATCATTATTCTCCAAAAGGATTTTCATCAATTCACTTATTTTCTGTACTTCCTTTCAATATTGAAAGGTAAGAAGATGTGAACTACAACTGGTAGAAGACAACAGAATTTAAGGACCTGGAATAACATTATCTAGGGTACAAAGCTAGCCCCTAATTTTTGTTTGAATGTATGTATGTATGGTTTTTTGTTTGTTTGAGGCATGGTCTTGTTATGAAGCCCAAGCTTTCCTGGGCTTACACTGGCCTGGACTTGTGATCCTTCTGTCTCTACATCCACAATTCTAAGATGTGTGCTACTGTGTCCAGCTGTTGTCCTTGCTATTTTTATTTCCATGAGTCAGTTTCAGATATAAAACAGAATGAGTGGGACGGAAGTAGGAAGTGCTCAATGATTTCTTGAAACACATTTGCGTCCCAGAATAGTTAAATGACTTCTTTCTTATCACACAAGTATTATTTAGGAAGTGTTGAGAATATGACAATTCAGAACAAGGAAAACTATGCATTTTTATGATTCATACACTACACATCTTCTTTACTGGGCAATATTCTCTGCTAGAATGTTAACTGAAGATCAAACATCTCACCCTACTCTCTGATTCCTAGCAACATTAATTTTTTCCTAGAAGGAAATATTGTCTTCACAAATTAAAATATCTCTGAAAAGTCCTGTGATGAAGAAGTCTTTAAGTGTTGGTTGAGAGACAAGCTTTGTGAAAAAAGTTCCTGAATATTCTTTGAGTGGAATGAACACCTTTAGTCAGGTACCAAAAGTACATAGGAATTTAAGGAAAAACAATGAACAGATAGCTAAGATATTGAAAACCAGTTAAATATCTGCACCTTTCTTTCCATCATTTTAAAGTAAATAACTTTAAAGGATGCTCTTGCCAGCACTGTGATGTCTAAACATTTACTTCACCACTTAGTCCATATAGAATTTTGTATGCAAATTTTTGTACCAAAAAGATCTTAGATTTGTTTGGAAGAAAGGGTTTTGGCCACACCTGCATCCATGGGGAGCCCAATATCTTGACGTTTTCATTGAATCTTTTCATAAGGACAAGAAGATTCTGATCTTTATAGTCAAAGCGATTATGGAAGATAATGGAACAGATTACATTGCAGGGAGCACAGCCCAGGATAAAGGTGGGATCACAGGGTGAACCTGTAGAATTAGAAGATAAAACAATTTACATACTACTAAAATACACATAAAACATGCTTTCATTATTAACAGTAGAATTCTTTAAGAAATTTAGGCACTACATTTCTTACACATTCCCCTTACGGCAAAATATTTAGCATGCATTCAATCAATACATCATGTTTACCTTAAATCTGAGTTGGCCATCATAATATAACTAAATAATAGAGTTTTACATATTCAGTTCACATCCACTGCATTTACTTCTAAACTTTCATCCCAGCTCTCTGCTATTGTGGAAAAAAAGGAAAGACATTTTAACGTAATAAAAAGCCTTAGAGCAGAATCACATCTCTCTGCGTGTTGGGAGAGTATTGTTCTGAATTGAAAGGTGGGGCCAGAAACTTGTTTTTTATGAAAGGAATAGGTGAATGAATAGTGTGTTTTCCAATACAGGAAAGAAATTGTGACATTGTTGGTGAGTTCACATCTCTGGAGAAAAAAAAATGCAGAATGCATACTTGGGAACACACACATTACATAAAGAAAGTAAGTACAATACAATTATCACTAAAATAAATTGAGAATTTTAAATTTCAAATATTATCACATGTAAGGCAAACATATAGTAAACTAATAAGTGTGGTCTGATTATTTCCCATTTTGATCTTTAGAAAAAGATAGAAAAGCAAAAAGGAATTTTCTTTCCTTGGAAGTGAATGTCCACAATGTCAAAGAAGTGAATGTCCATTGTCTCCACTTAAACTTCATATTAACCCATATAGACGAAGTTATTTCATGGATACTGTGATATTGTCATATTAGCCTGAAGTACTGGAGGCATAGCTCAAGTGGTAGAGCACCTGCCTAGCGAGTATGAAGCCCTGAGTTCAAACAATAGTATTAAAGAAGAACCATACTTAGCCATGAACAGAATGGTATGTCTTAATAATTTAAAGTTTTTGTTCAACTCTTAAGGAAAATCTATTACTTTGCAGGTGACAGAATTGAAGAATTTTTTTTTCATTTTTGTTAGTAATTTATACCACAAAATTGCTAAAATAAAATGGTCCATGAACTTTTTATCCAAATAAGTCTGAAATAAACATCTGCCTAACCTAAAGTTACCTTGAATTGAAAGTATTCCGGGTAAATATGAAGGACTTTTGAAGAACAAAAAATCTGTTGAGTGAGCTGTTTGTGTATCAGTTTCTTTTAGCCATATGGAATCTAAACTTTTAGAATTCGTGCAGGGGGAGAAAAAGGAGACTTGAAGAGGAGGTAAATTCAAGTATGATGTATTTAATATATTATAAGAAACTGTGTAAATGTCACAATGCATCACCACCAAACATAACAATGAAGAGGGGAAAAATAGAAAAAGTTTTATTTTAGTCATGGAATTGGAAGCCTTGGTGACTGTATGCTTGTGTGTGTGTGTGTGTGTGTGTGTGTGTATGAGTCAAAGGAAATAATAGTTCTCAATCTTTTCAATTGATTTGCAAAGAAGAGTTTAAAAGTAGGTCTTTTAGAATTCAAGCTGTAAGAGCTGGGGGCATGGCTCCAGCATTAGAGCCTTTGCCTCCCAAGTGTAAGGCCCTGTGTTGAAACTCCAGGTACAACAATGACAACAACAAATTAAAAAATTTATAATTATCTAAGCTGATAATTAGGTTCATTTTGTCAAACACTTCTTAGGTAAATTGTGCTGCCAGTGGGAGAAAAAAATTTTCACAAATTTCTAAACTAATTCCAATAAACAGGTCAGATAGGCAACTCTGAATCTAACGCCAAATCACATTTAGGAAAGACCAGATTAGAGTTACCATTAATAGTTGAAATCTAGGTAAATGAATCAATTTATAAATTACAGTTTCTCTATTTTTTAGATTTACACTATAGTATATATTACTCTAAGACTTATAGATCTATCTCTGAAGTATTGGGGAATAAGAAATAAATAATACTAAGTGTTTGTGATGAATTTACAGAGAACAATAGTTGAAGAGAAATATATTAAGAACTGTATTAAGCTACAGCTAAACAGGGATGGCCAATTGCTTCAAGTGGTAAGACCCTGAGCTAACCACATGCTGCCCAAAAATATCCAAACAAAAAACAGTACAAAGCACCATTTCTATTATATTTATGAACCTAGAAGAAAATGTGAGAGATGTCTGAAAGCAGTCATACAGCCATTGTTCATTTAAATGAAAGCATATATCACTTAGAACTGTCCATGTAAATGTGTGTTGGAGTCACTGCCACTATAACCACACATTCTCTGATGAAATGATCAGTAAAAGGTGAACCACATTTACGATAAGGAAAACACAGCTCATTACTCTTCAGAAAGTAAACTTAAAACCTATATTCAAGCCTTTTGTTTGAACAAAAAGAAAGAAACTTATCAACAGAATGAAATTAAAAGGATGTTATACCCTCACTGGAGGCACAGCCATGCCTGTACAAATACAGCATGGATATTAAACAGTCTGTAGGATCTCTCCTTCAAATCATCCCTTCTCTCCATGAACTCACAGCCAGGATGCAAACTGAAAGCTCAATTCACCTCTGAAATAAACACAATGACCAAATTGGAGAAGAGAAAAGTCTACAGAGATCATGACATGAAGGGGTACCCACCATTGGTTTTTCTCAACTCCTCCACAAGGCAGCGTGCTTCCTCTTGAATACGGTCCTCAATGCTCCTCTTCCCCATCCCAAAATTCCTCAGAGTCATGAGGGAGAACCGTCTTGTCTCTTTCCAATACTTTCCATTGCTGGAAAAGATTCCTGAAAAAGGAGAATCATAAAGTAAGAGGGACATGCCCTCTTTGCTTTTCTATTTTGCTTTTCTTTTTCTTATACTGTTCCAGATTATAACTGTTTAATTGAGAACAATGAAGAATGTGCCTTTGGCTTTCTACCACAAAGATGGGCAGGCTCTACTTGACCACTTTTTCAAGTCTTTGTTTTCCATACTCCTCATGTCCATGACCATTGCCCAGCACACATCTGTACATACATGCACACTTACCAAGGCCTTTGCTAATTTTTTCAGGCATTATTAATTTGCCTCTTCCGGAAAACTCCTCACCATAGTCAACCAATGCTTCCTTTACAGCCTCATATCCATGCAGCACCACAGTGGGCTTCATTCCCAAATACACAGTGAATACCGGGCCATAGACTTTTGACAACTGGAAGTAGATAAGAACTGCAAATATTACTAAAAGAATTCATATTTGGTGCATATATTGTTTCTTATTCAAACAGATGCTATAGTTGCATTTTTTAAGTTTATCAGCATACCTTCAAATATTAATGAACTTTATGTGGTAGCCATCACTTTTGTATGCCCTATCATGTGCTATACAGTGGCCCATGAAATTGATACACAGATTACAAGTAAACCTAACATCAACCCAGTCAGAATGTGTTTTGGAGCTATTTTTCAAAGAAAAAAATGAGGTCAGAGAATTTTAAAATTATTTACAGTGTGCCATGACTAATGAATAAAACACTTTAATGTGAACCTTTATATTTCTATACAAACTACTGGATGGGCACAGAAGGAATTATCTCATCCCAAAGCTACTTTTAAATCAGTACATGTATAGGTGCTTCAGAGTAACCTGTAAATAACTTACCATGTAGGTCCTGACTCAGTGGCACAGACATGAAAAAAAGAAAGCTATGCTTTTGTCAGATTTAGTGTCTACTGGTATTACAAACTCAGAGATTTGGCACTGAAGAGGCAGCACCTTTTCGGTGGAATAGATTCTTCTACCCTGTATAGCATTCTGGGCCCCAGACACATGATATTTTCACAATCCAAATGGATTCAGATAACAATCAGGTGTTAACTTACTGTTTGCTTTTCTATTTCTTATGCTATTCCGGATCATAACTGATTAATTGAGAACAAACTTACTTTTATTCTTTAAAGAAAATCAGCTTTCATGGCAATTCTGAACAAATGCATGGCTAAAATGTTGCACAACTTAGTGAATGTATATGTATATAAGGCAAAGAGGAGAAGAAGCATTCACAATTTATGTCACCTTATAGTTTTGATTTTCCTGTACAAGTTGCTAAATATTTTTCTAATCAGAAAATGTGCTACTTCATTACATAATTTCATCCTATGACAAACTGGAAAGGTAACAAGTACATAAATCTTATAGGCAGTATTTAGTTTCACAATCATCTATGTGTACCTTAGACAATATATTTTATTTAAAATAAGGAATCAATTTACTCACAATTGCAAGCCTATGGAGGATATTAAGGCATACTTACATTGGTTAAGGATGTGCTTATGTCCTTAAAATTTATCTGTAGGATATTTCCAATAATTGGGAGAGGATTAGGTCCAGGAGGGAGTTTGTTTCTTCCAGAGCTCTGTCTCCATAGTGAAAGGAGAAAGAGACAGAGCAAACCGAATCCCAAGACTAAGAATGGATCCATCAAGACCTTCTCTTATTGCTATAATGCATGCAACTCAAAACCCAAATCTTTATATACTGTTTGCCACTTCAACTGTGACTTGTTGATACCTAACTGAGTAATCAGCTAGATGCACTTTAGTCTCTGTCAAGGTCTCTTTGGAGTGAACTTTGACTCAATGACAGAGATAAAAATAAAATGTTCTCTTCCTTTTTTCCTATATTAGGACTGAGATTCTGGAACTTCGGGGTTCCATACTTGGTTATGAACAATTCGTATACTGTGTACATAAGTATGTAAATAGAAAAATGATATCTGTTGAAACTACTCAAGGAATGGGGGAAAGGGAATGAAGGAGAATAGTGGGAGGACTGCATTCAAGCATATTATATGTGATATATTATAAGAACTTTTCTAAATAAAATAATGAACCTCCACTCAACGCAGAAATAAAAAAGGAAAAATATGTAAATAAATAAATATTTAAAAATTAAATAAAATATGAAAGTCTGCCAGTTGGTAATTCAGCAATAACTTTGTATGTGTGCATTTATTTATGTGCCTGGATGTATATTTAGTAGAATAGTAAAGAAACAGGAATGATGTTTATATACAGTGAGGCTTGGATGTGATACACAAATCAATCTTTGCCAGCATAGATGCCATCTTCAAGATTAAATCCTTACATAAGCAAAATTATATTTCAAGTTTTAATAATTTTTAAAACACTGACAATGTCATATTCAACCATTCCATTAAACAACAACAAAAAGATGCATGACTAAACATGCAGTTTTAGAAACTAAAAAACAAAAATCACAAAGACCACAGTTGGTAGATCTGAGGCTGTAACTCACAGTCCCTGCAAGGAAGATTTTCAGTTCTAACAGGTTCACTAATCTTTTCTGGCTGTGTACTATGGTTCAGTACTGGTTGATTGTTCTTAATCAGTTACCTTCAAAATAAACATGAATTTGGTCAATAATTACAGCACCACTTCACTAAAATAAAGGTTAGATAAGTTTGGTTTTACAACCATTAGAACTAGAGTGATCCCAAGTCTTTATGCATCCATTATCCTGAACAAAACAGCAGTAATTTGTACCTGACCCAAATAGCTCTAAGCTCCAAAAGTACCACACTGGCTTGTTTTTAAAAGTGCAATTTCATTACCTTTCTCTACTGAGTATTTTCTTTTTAATTCCTTGGGAGATAAGTTATCGTGGTCTCCTTTTCCTTCCTTATACTGAAATAAGTCTCCTGCTTGGATCTTTCCTTTTATACACTGAAGAAGAAGAGATATTTTAAATGTAAATGGGATATTTTAGGTCAAGGAATCTAAGGTTTTTTTTAAGGAATAAACACTTGGTCTCACACTGAAATAAACTGTCACCAGTGCATCAGTATGAAGCCTTCCCTCAAAATCCTGGTTCTCCAACCTACAATTTGTTTTCCTCTCCCTTATCACTACACCAAATTCTAATCTCAGTGCAAATACTTCAGAGGATTTCAGCATTAGTCCTTTGATATTTACAGTGTAATGCAAACCTCATCTTGTCTATAGTCAGGGATTTGAAATCATTTCTTAATAATTAATAGAAATTATATTTTAGAGAAAGTTGAGGTTCACAGACAAACTAAATGTGAAGTACACAGTTCCAATATGAATGTTCCCACACTGACACAGTCTCTCTTATAATCAGCAGCCTTCACCAGTGTGGTTCATTAGATACAGTTGATGCATGAGCACTGACATAGCAACATTCAACATTCAGATCACATGACATTTGCCTAATAAGGACAGCACTAAAACAATATAACAATATACTTGATGTGTATTGATGGTAAAATTCCCAGTAAAATATGTTCAAATAGATTTCAACAATTCATTAAAAATATCATATGACAAGGTCAAGTTGCTTTCATCCCAGGGATTCAAGAATAGTCCAACTACGCAAACCAATAACTTTAATACAACACATAAATAGAATCGAGAGCAAAAATCACATTATCAACTTGATAAACACAGAAAAGTCTTTCATATCTTTCAACATCCGGTCATGATAAAACCCTTAAAAAACTAAGTTCAGGAGGGTCATAATTCAACTTAAAAGGCTACATTCAACCAAGCTAAAAACAGCTGGCACCATACCAAATGGAGAGAACAATAAATGCATTTCCTCTAAAGTTGGGAATAAAAGAGAGGTGACCACTCTTATTCAAAATAATACTTGAAATTTTAGCCAGAACAATTAGGCATGAGGAAAAACATAAAAGAATATAATTAAGAAAGAAAGAAATAATGTTATTCTTCTTTTCAGATGATTTGATTTTACACTTAAAACACCCTAAAAACCCCACGGAAAGATTATTTGAAATAACAAATTTGTCAAAATATCAGGACAGGAAATCAAGTTACCAAAATCAATAGCTTGTCTGTACATCAATAGCAAATTTACTACAAAATATATGAGGAAAATAACCCCACTCACAATAACACCAAAAATAAGCTGAACATGCTGGCATATACTTACATTCTTAACTACTCAGGAGATACATGCAGGAGGACTATGAGTTTTAGACAGGTCCAGGAAACATTAGCAAGACCATTTCTCCAAAACCTAATACAAACAAAATTTCACAGGATATGGTTCAGATTGTAGGGTGCTTGCATGATCTAAGCCCTTGGTTCAATCCCCAGTACTGAAATAAAATAAAATAAAATAAAATGCACAGAACATATACACCTAATGAAGTGAAAGACTTCTAATATTTCTAATACCTAATATAGTCTGTGCTCATTCAATTGTATTCCCTGGTGTCTTTAAGTGAAAACTTTTATGTGGTGAGCTTATCTGGAATTTCCTAGAGAAAAAGGTTTAAGTCATCAAGATAATGTCAAATATCAAGGGACACTTCCTTCCTATTATTTTTTTGTATACCACCATGATAACAGGAAGGAGAAGGTTCTTCTGGGCCTAGATAAACGGCAGTTGATTTAGGTCATGAGGAATGAATGGTGGGGAGGTTTTGATTCCAGAAAAACACCATCCTGTGTGGTTTTCCTTCCCTTCCCATAGCCCACTAGCCTACATGGTTATTTGTCACTCTTACCACATCTTTGTGCACCTGGGTAGAGTAAATGTCTCTGTTTCCATGTGCTTAATTCTCTGGAAGAGTTGAGATATTTTACCCCTCATATTAAGAAAATCAACACTGGTTACCTACCAATTTTATCTTCAAAAAACCTCTGAAAACACTTCACCTACTCCTAAGCTCCAGTTCCTTTGAAACTAGTTCCTCCTTTTAGGATCCACCTTCAACATCCTCTGAAGTTCTTCCTGTGACCCTGATGTTGGGTACAGCATCCTGAAATCAGTTCTTCCTGGACTCATTTTATGTTTTCCTCTGGAAGAACACACATTTTCCTGAAAAAAGGTGAACGAAAGATAATTTTCTGATATCTTCCTTCTATTTATTTGAAAGATGCCTAAGCTTAACTTTTTAGATTGTAAATAATTTCTCTTAGAATGTTTGAGGTTTTTCTGAACAAATTCTGGTTACTGTTGCAGTGTTGTTTTTGAGACATTTCTTTTCCTCTTGAAATCTCAAACTCCTGGAAAATATGAAAATTCAAATCTCAAAACACATATAGATAACAAAATGGTTTAAATTGTCATCTACCATATTACAATGGGAAGAATAGCACTGCTCTAGGATATTCCTGAATGTAAATGCATTACCTGATCTAATCACAAAGAAGTAAAAGACACAATATGGCCTATTTTACACAACACCTGGGATGAGTTTTTCAGGTGTGGCAAGATCATGGAATTCATAAAAAGAATGAGAATTTTTTTAAACTAAATGTTGCAAAATAGATAAGATGAGCTGCAACATGGGCCCTGCACTGTAGTCCAACAGGGAAGAAAAGATATTACTCTGATTTTTGTGTGGAACACACATGAAAATGAGATTTGATACCTACTACAAATCAAAATTATTTCTTGACTTTATACATTTTTGCAGGTATGAAGATGAATGGCCATGTATTGGGAAATACATGCACACCTATTTTACATTTGGACATCAGGTCAGTAATTTGCTTTCAGTTTGAAAACAAAATAGTTCTTTATTTTGCTTTGATTGCTAACTTTTGAAGTGTGTATGGATATATTGTGTATATACACATATGTGTACCAAAAATGGAATCATGTTCAAAGTCCAAAAGTTATAGAGAAAAAAATATACTACCACAACATAAGAATGATGGAAATTAAAACAACATTGAGGTGTTATTAAATAGCCATCAGTTGTTTGGAATGTAAATGGAGTCACTATGCTAAATGTAGACAAAACATGAATCTACACTAATTTATGTAAAAATTTTGAATAGTGGCTGGCGATGTAGCTGAGTATTAAAGCATCTTCCTAGCATGAACATGTCTTGGGTTAGCTCACTAAAAGTGCAAAAACACTATGTATTTGTTAAACCATTTGTAAAATTCCTGTCAGGAGTCAATGAAACTGAAGATATCCATAGCAAGCAATTGCACTAGTAGTTATGTATTGATCAGAAATGCAATACTTTGGAACAACAAAAGACACTGTATAGGAATGATCAAAAAAGCAATATTTATAATGACCTCAAAATGGATACAACCAAATATCCATAACAATATTTTTGATGGTTCCGGGTTTTGATCTCAGAGTCTTGAGTGTTCTAGGAAGATGTTCTACTACTTGAATTCTTTTTTATTGCAGTCCTTATTTATTTAGGTAATTTTCAGGTAGGATCTCATGTTTTTGCCTGTGAGTTGACCTCAAAACTGTCATCCTCCTACCTACTCTTTCTTAATGACCATCTTCCTTAACCCTCCCCTTTTTAAGAGCTTTTCATTATGTTATTTTCATACCAAGCAGAACCTTTCTGAGATGAAAAGAGTAGCAGATAGAGATACCCATGTCTTTGGGAAGAGGGTCATTGATCAACAGTGAACATCTAACTTTCTTTAATCCAGTAT